TCTGTGTGCTGCGTGTGTCTCTGCGTGTATCTCTACGTGTGTCTCTGCGTGTGTCTCTGCGTGCTGCGTGTCTCTTCGCGTTGTCAATTGGGAAAGAAAGGAGTGTGAGCGCGGACCGGGCGCCGGGGGGGCGGGGGGTCTCCGGCTCGAGGGGTGAATGATTGACGGCTCGGTGAAGAAACGAGGCCACGTGATCGGGGCCACAGCCATCGAAGTTCAGACTCGGGGCGCGCACGCCTCAAACCTCGTTAAGGTTCGATCACGGGTCAGGGTCACGCGCCTCCGATGTCACCGTTGCCGGTTTTGTTTGTGAAGGCATCGGTTGGGATTTACCCCGTACACCCCCCCTCCCCACCGCTAAGGACGGCTACGCATCCAGCAGTGGATTGACCATGGCTTATTATGCAAATTATATGATCATGAATTACAATGAGGGCTCGCGTGAACGTTCCAGCCGCTGGCCGCGACATTGATCGCGATGGTAAACCAGCCAGCCGCGTGAGATGGGGTTGTTTGACCTTACTTTACCATTCTGGTTCGTGCCGGAGGGGGTATAGGTGAGGGAGGGGGGGGGGTAAGGGGTTTGTAAAACCGGTTCAGATATCGCTCGAAACTTGAGTCGCTCGCAACTGCTGCTGGTTACACTGGTCTACAATTTTTTCAGACGTCGTCTGCTTCAGAGATGAAATGCGCTGTCTATCATGGATTTTGATGTGCTGAATTCAAATGTGACAATTAAAACAACTAATTAATTATCGGCGACCGATAATTATCGGTTGCAGGCTCGATGAAGTTCCACGTGACGACAAGCCACTTTGTTGAGCAATCATTTGTGGCCAGGTCGCTTCTAAAAATTACAAAATAGAAGAGCTATAACATAACTCAGTAGGGGGGGGGGGGGGGGGTCACATACCTGGTAAAAATAAACAAGAAAATAGTTTACAGTTTTCATTTGTGATGACGTCTCAACGAACACGGCTGGGCCGCGTGCGGACTGCTCCAAATTCGCGCCTCCAACTCGCCACTGACGTTCGTTGGGCTTCACACAATGAAGCCAGTGCTGTCTGTGCGGTGGTGGTGGCGGTGGTGGTGTCGGTGGTGGTGGTGTCGGTGGTGGTGGCGGTGGTGTCGGTGGTGGTGGCGGTGGTGGTGGTTGCGGTGGTGGCGGTGGTGGTGACGGTGGTTGCTGTGGCGGTGACGGTGACGGTGGTGGTGGCGGTGACGGCGCTGTCGAGTGGTGATGTAAAGCGGTGGGGTGGGGGTTCTCGCGTCTCCGGGGAATATTTTTTTTTAACAATTAACGGAGTCCGTGCCCGTTGGGCGGGCGAGGCTACAGCGAGAAGTAAATGAACGCTCTTAGGATGTATTGCCCTTGGCGCGGGGGTTCAGTTCTCCGCGTAATTCCCAGCTCCCCCTTTGGGAAAGAGCCTTTCGTGAGATCATCATCATCATCATCAGCAGCAGTCAAGATCTATCCACTGCTGGATGAAGAAGGCATTAATTCCCGAGCCGTCTTCCCACCTCTCACGGTCTAGCAACGCTGAATGCAACAATCCATCCAGCTGCTGCACACGAGCTGATTCCATCGTTCCGTCTCCATGGTGGAGGTCCTCTCTCTCTCTCACACACACACAGACGATTGTAAAGGCCACGCAATACCTCGCAATGCCCCAGAATTCCACTCTGTGCCACCCCAAATGCATCGTTGTAAAGCGATCGTTGTATTTGTTCGCGCACAGATAAACAAACTCAACACGGTCCTAAATGTCACTGTTCACAACCGAAATAAATCGATCGTAAGCCGACGTTGACGGTCAACGACCCTTCTCCAAATAAGATGGTCTCTGACCACAATGGATGAATGATCAGTTCTTAAATGAACAACTGGGCCTTGTTACCTGGTTATATAATAATCAATAATAAGCAATCATAATAGAAACACATTACATTTAAATGATGTAAGTGGATGGATTAAGGCCTCCCCACGCCGTGTCGGTCGGCCGTGAGGTCGTTTGACCCAAACTTCACCACGCCGGTCGATGCGGACCACTGAAAACGGGGGGCAGCATGACCGGTGTCATTACCACTGCCCCCCCCCCCCGCCGCCCCCCAAATCCCCCACCTCCACTCGTGGAACTCTGCTGAGGGTCACACCGAGTCCATTCTTCTCACCACATCTGCCAAAGTCAGCGCCTCTCTTCCCATAGAGACTCCCATCACCATCACCACCACCACCACCACGACAGTCCCCATCAGTGTCTCTCCCCCGATGACACCAACTCCCCTTCCCCCCTCTTCCGTCTCTTCCCCCACTCCCTCCCTCCCCCACCATCCCATAACCCCCCACCGCGTTCCGCGTGAGCGACCGCAGCGGTCCGAGCACCAGCAGCAGCAGCACGACACGAGGCCGGAACGGCGCAAGAGAAAATATTAAATAAGTGTGCCCCCCCCCACCCTCTCCCCGCCCGCTTGCTGCACGCAGAGCCCTACATGGACACGGCCGCGGACGCCACTCCCATTGGCCCTGGTCCAGTCCCTGTGGGGTCGTTCCCTGCTTTGGCCACGCGATCCTAGAGGCGACGACGGGGCGCGCCCCGGGTTCGACTGTTTGCGATTGCGCATTAAGGAGCTGGATACGAGGTGGTGTGGGTGGGTGTGGGTGGGTGTGTGTGTGGGTGTGTGTGTGGGTGTGTGTGGGTGGGTGTGTGGGTGGGTGTGTGTGTGTGGGTGTGTGTGTGGGTGTGTGGTTTGGGTGGGTGTGTGTGGGTGTGTGTGGGTGGGTGTGTGTGGGTGTTGGTGTGTGTGTGTGGGTGCTCGCTAACAGCACTTGCCCCTACAGTCTGTTAAGGCTATATGGGGGATCTTTGTTTTGTATCTTTGTGTGTGTGTGGGTGGGTGTGTGTGTGGGTGGGTGTGTGTGTGGGTGTGTGTGGGTGGGTGTGTGGGTGGGTGTGTGTGTGTGGGTGTGTGTGTGGGTGTGTGGTTTGGGTGGGTGTGTGTGGGTGTGTGTGGGTGTGTGTGGGTGTGTGTGGGTGTTGGTGTGTGTGTGTGGGTGGGTGTGGATGGGCGTGTGTGTGTGGGTGGGGGTGGGTGGGTGTGTGTGTGTGGTTGGGGGTGTGGGTGTGTGTGTGTGGGTGGGTGTGGGTGGGTATGTGTGGGCGTGTGTGTGGGTGTGTGTGGTTGGGTGTGTGTGGGTGGGTGTTGGTGTGTGTGTGTGTTGGTGTGTGTGGGTGGGTGTTGGTGTGTGTGGGTGTGTGTGGGTGGGTGTGTGTGGTTGGGTGTGTGTGGGTGAGTGTGTGTGGATGGGCGTGTGTGGGTGTGTGTGGGTGGGTGTGAATGTGGATGAGCGTGTGTGGGTAGGTGTGTGTGGGTGGGTGTGAGTCTGGATGGGCGTGTGTGGGTGGGTGTGTGTGGGTGGGCTGAGAGAGAGAGGGAGGGGGAAGGTCGAGAGAAGGGGGAGGGGAGGGTTGCGGTTCAGGACTTTGTCGGTTACGACCCGGGGCGATATGAGTTGGATTCCTGGGTGCTGGTATTCTGTTGTTGTGGTTGTTGTTGTTGAAGATGTAATACGATTGGAGAAGCGGTTGTTCTGTAACGGAACAGAATGGACGGCCGTCTCTGTGTAAAATCTTCTCACAATCCTCCTGTACTCGGAGCAGTTAGAGCTATCGGATGAACACAAAAGTAATAATACAATGCCAAGACAATATATTACGTGAGGGTTTTAAAAAGTATATATTTCATAGGATCTAAAGGATATTCTTCCAAAGAGAATTACGTTAATAGGAACACACATTTGAAAGGAAGAGCAATTTCATATTACCCGTGCCAGCCTTCTGCATTCGTTACTCCCACCTCTATTGTGTCGCTGTCCTTGATTAAATATCTTCCGAACTTCCTCTTCTTCTTCCACCGTTTCAATGCTGCAGCTGCTGCTGTTGTTGTTGTTGCTGCTGTTGTTGTTGTTCCACGGAAAAAGTCCCGTGCAACCAGTTGACCCCGCCAGTGCCGTTGGTGACGGCCCGCGGCGCTAGACGAGGCCCCGCCAGCGGCCAGCCAGCCAGGTCGCTCGAGGCTTCGATTATTTATTGGCACGAGTTTTGAATCAAGGATATTTCACCTGGAGGATCCCTCCAGACGAAACACCTCCTTTGCAAGGGTGTCCATTGGACATTCATTCACGCGTGAAGGCACAAAGACAAAGATCCCCCGCATAGCCTTAACTGATTGTTGGGGCAAGTGCTGTCAGCGATCTCCTAATGAAGGCCGGCACGGCACACGAGGAGGCGGTGTGGTCAGCACTACGCCGGCCTTCGTCTGCCCACTGCTGATGTTTTCATGCCACACCAGGTACTCGTTTGAGGCTGAGCCGACCTAGGAGAGACCAGGGACCGCGGGTCATATAATCGTCACTGGTGTTGACCCCGAGCGGGAATCGAACTCGGGTTCGGCGGGTTCGTCGCGCAGCGTAGCGCTAACCGCTGCGCCACCGCTCACACACACAAAGAGACAAAGATCAAAGATCCCCCGTGTAGCCTTAACAGACTGTAGGGGCAAGTGCTGTTAGCGAGCACCTATGAAGGCCGGAACGGCACGCAAGGGGGTGGGTGGCCAGCACCACGCCCGGCCGCCTTTGTCTCCCTAGTGGCGATGTTTATTACGCACAGGACCAGGTACTCATTTGAGGCTGAGTCGACCTAGGGGAGGGCCAGCACCGGTTCAGATAATCGTCACCGATATTGGCCTTGAGCGGGAATCGAACTCGGGTCGCCGGGTTTGTAGCGCAGCGCGCTAACCGGTTCGATACCGCTCACACACGCACACGAACACACACACACACGCTCACACACACGAACACACACACACGCTTACACACACACACGAACACACACACACGCTCACACACACGCTCACAAACACACACACACACGCTCACACACACACACGCTCACACATACACACGCTCACACACGCGCACACACGCGCACACGCTCACACACACACACGCTCACACACACGCTCACACACACACACGAACACACAAACACACTCACACACACACACGCTCACACAATACTATTTCCAACACGTGCAGACATATTTCACTTCGTTCGTATCAAACTGTGGCATTTAATGTGGTGCGCGGGACGTCATGGCTTACTCCCGATAAAGCATATATCACGTGGTAATTAAAGCCCTAATTCACTTATCACGTGGTCATGAACGCCCTAATTCACTTATCACGTGGCCATTAACGCCCCAATTCACAGCAGTCGGTGCGCTTTGGCAATTAGTGGTAATGACCCACGGATAAATAATCAAACAAGTATATAATTACGATTTTACAACGCTTCGTCAAGGCACTGGCGGTTGAATGAAGCCCTCCTGCGCCCTTATTGATCACTGGGGCTTGTTGGACCATACTTCACCTCGCCGGTCAGCCCGTGGTGTTGGTGATGGCGGGAGGAGAGGGGGCGGGGACGCCTCTCTAGGACACAGCCGACACAGGTAATCAACCTGAATTCGTTGGTGTCCATAACGCAGCGTGCTAACCGCTGCGCCACCGCTCCACCCCGGTACCAAACCTCGTTCGTGTAAGTTGGTTGGTACTGATCGGAGGCGGGGGGGAGGGGGGGTCTGTTCGAGGGGCTTATTAGAAGGGTTTAAATAATCTTACGGATGTACGTGAAGGGTGCACGCGAACGAGATTGATCACCATCACCATCAAAGGGATCCCGATCACTTGACCCATCATGGCCAGGTCTTTGCACGCATTTATTTATTTCGCGTAGGCTTCGCTGCAGACCGGGAATGCTTGGATCGTCAGCTTCCTCGGGGGGAGGGGGTGGGGGGTACTGACTAGGGGCATGACGGGAGCGCTGATCCACTACCCCGCAGAGATCTGGTTTATGGGTCGGATACACGGGGTCCCTGTCTGATACACGGGGTCCCTGTCAGATACACGGGGTCCCTGTCTGATACACGGGTCCCCTGTCTGATACACGGGGTCCTTGTCTGATACACGGGTCCCTGTCTGATACACATGATCCCCGTATTTCAGTTTCATGTATTTGGTATAGCCCTGTGAGCCATTCGGCTCTTGAATCGGGTGCATCTGAAACAAACAAAAACATGAACAAGAAAACATCTTAAAGTGACTACGCGCAAAAATAAAAATCCAGGAGAAAACAGCAAACGTCTTCCAGAAAAAGCACCGTACATCACCGCTGTGTGCAAAAATCCCAGTGGGATACAAGTCAAACAATAACAACCATAAGGCAATTTAGATTAAAGTAATCAGTCTAACTCTGTACTACAACAAACAAATATGACTAAACCAAAACGTTTTCGAAATCACCAAAATAAAGCTACGAAAGCAATGTAACAGTGATCATAGGAACTGTGATTGCAATTTTACAATAAACGATATACATAACATGTACTACCAAAGTTTGCAGCCATAGCAAATACCACAGTGTCCCCGCCTGAGATCTAACTTGGCTCACCGGTCTGCCTGCTCCGGTGTGAAGGGAGCGTCCGTGGGTCTGGATCGCCCCCTAGTGGAGGCGAGAGGGTCGGGCGCGGAGGTCGTGGATGAGAACGACTGGTTGAGTCGGTTGACCCACGCGCGGACTCACAGAGAACTTCTCTCACCTGGGTGCCCCCCTCCCACTCCCCTCCGCCCCCCCACTCCCCACCCCCGCCACGGCTAATCAGACGAGACATGAAGCCACACACTGACCGCTGAGTCGACACAGTCACCGCACACTAAACTAAACTATAGCACTAAACTATAGAATTTTGATTTAAAGCTTTCGTGACTGCAGGGATTCATATTCTTGGTTCTTTCGGTAAAGTCACGTAGAAGGGAAACAATAAAATAATAAAAATATAAAGCAATAAATATATTTATATATATATTATTTTATTATTTCCCTTATACGTGACTTTACCGAAAGAACCAAGAATATAAACTATAGAACTAAACTTTTATGTTATTTTTCCAGGTAAGGCCCGGTCGAGCTATGAAGCTCTTCTTGTCAGAAGCGACCTGGCAATCACAAATGATAGCTCAACGAATCGTGTCTGGGATCACAGCCACCGCTCCACAGACAGCAGACTGTTGGGACACGTGTTGTTAGTCCTGGAGCACATATAACGGCCGGCACGGCACACGAGGGGGTGGGTGGCCAGCACCACGCCCGGCCGACTTTGTCTCCCCAGTGGCGATGTTTACGCACTGCACCAGGTACTCATTTGAGGCTGAGTCGACCTAGGGGAGGCCCAGGAGCGATTCAGATAATGCGTCACCGGTGTTGGCCGTGAGCGGGAATCGAACTCGGGTCCACCGGGTTCGTAGCGCAGCGTAGCGCTAACCGTTGTATTACACATACACACACATACACACACCATACACACACTCACCCACACACCCACGCACACGCATTGCGTTCGCTGATACAATAACCAACCCGAGAGAGGAGTGCGCGATGGTAATCTGCAGCTGCGGGTGAAGCCGCATTGGCACGGGGCGATAAGGAATGCGAGCGCAGACCCCTCTCGAGTCAAGGCAACGACTCCGATTCCCAAACACTCACAGCAGAGAGAGAGAGAGACTACGCAGCCGCGATACAACAACAACAACAATCAAGGGCCACGCGTCTCTCTATCAGCAGCTACACACAGTCACATTTAGAAGGCCAGCAACTGAGCGACCTTTCGAGGACCAGTGCTTCCCAGCAGAATTCGTTGAAACTAATAATAATAAAGCAAACGATGGACCGGTTTCAACTTCTTTTGATTCTCACCAGCACCTCCGATTAGCACGGCTGGCTACGTACGGTGCGAGAGAAGTTCAACATACACGTGCATACGTACGCACGCACACCGGCCCTCGGTATGTACGGCGGAGGATTTTCGATGCGGCTACTTAAAGAAAAAAACCCGGCATTGTTCATGTCACGTTGGACGTGTTTAGCAATCATCGGGCTCGAGCAGCGTGACCCCCACCCCCAGCGCAATCCGCACTCATTCACGCGATGGCTCCACTCCCGCGTGCTCGTCCGTCGGGTCGGTGTCGACTGAGAACTCCCACTCAGCGACGCTAATCCTCTTCGGGTTTTTCGTGATGAAAAAAAAAACAAGTCCTTACTGCAGGGATTGCAACGCTTGAGCAGCGTTCGTTCAGCACGAGCAACAAACTCCGGAGCCGTTAACGACCTTCAGCGTCTCGCCAGCAGAGTCCGGAGACTTACTTAAACCGATTCTGGTGAACTGCCAGACGTGGTGAGATATATCGGTCCAGGTTATTGGATTCGCCTCGCGAAGGTTGTCTCGAACACCCGGACTGGATCCTCTGGGTCGGAACATGCGGTTCGGGACACTCATTTATAAACACTCGGCGTGGACCGTTTTGCGAGGAACATGAGGGACTGGAACACCTCCTTGGGAAGATCCGATTAGGAAGATCAGGTTCGGCACAATGTGACTGGAAGAACCGGGCTGGATTCATCGCTCCGCGTTCCGCGCGCAAATTGAATACTGTACTAACCCTGGACCCATCACACACCGTATCAGATGCATCACAAGCAAGCCCATCACACAGCCCATCATATACATAAGTCATCATGCCCATCACACATAGTCCATGATACACATCACACAGCCCATCACACACACACAATCATTGACATTACACACAGCCCATAACATATACAGCTCATCACACGCACATCACACACACACATCCCCGAACACATAGAACACACCCAATCACAAATAGTCCATCACACACACCACACACACACACAGCTCCAAACACACAGAACACACCCAATCACAAATAGTCCATCACACACACACACCACACACACAGCTCCAAACACACAGAACACACACAGTCACAAATAGTCCATCACACACACACAGCCCCAAACACACAGAACACACCCAATCACAAATAGTCCATCACACACACACACCACACACACACAGCTCCAAACACACAGAACACACACAGTCACAAATAGTCCATCACACACACACCACACACACACACAGCCCCAAACACACAGAACACACCCAATCACAAATAGTCCATCACACACACACACACCACACAAACACAGCCCCGAACACACAGAACACAGCCAATCACAAATAGTCCATCACACACACACAGAACACACCCAATCACGGATAGTCCATCACACACACCACACACACACCACAGCCCGTCATCATGTCCATCAGACCTGTCATCAAGCGCTCATCACTCACGCGACGAATCACGCACCGCGCCAAGAACTCTTCATCATCTCATTCTCCCAAGCGTCCCTTGAGGGATGTTTTGTCCCCAAGCGAGAGAAGACGACGGGGTGTGAGATGGGGAGGCGGGGGGAGGCGAAGGGGAGGCTGTGTGATGCTCAGGGAAGGAGTTGGTAGGAGGAAGGACGTGGGAGCGGGGAGCGCGCAGACATCCCCGAGGCTCGCCGATGATGAGTCAGCCCGCGGGGACGGCAACAGCGTGGTATTTGGGAGTGGTGTTTACACAGTGGTGGTGCTGGTGCCGGCATTGGTGGTGGTGGTGGGAGCGTAGGGGGTTAGCGCGCTGCGCTGCGAACCCGGCCGCTCGAGTTCGATTCCAGCTCACGGCCATCAACACCAGAACCGGTTCTGGGCCTGCCCTAGGGCCACTCAGCCTCGAATGAATACCTGGTAGGCGGTGTACAGACATCGCCACGAGGGAGACAAAGGCGGCTGGGCGTAGTTCTGATCGCCCACTCGCTCGTGTGCCGAGTTGGCCTTCATCGGGGTGCTACTGGCTATCAGCACTTGCCACAAAAGTATATAAAGCTATACGGGGGACCTTTGTCTTTGGGAGGGAGCGGCCAGGCAGGGCCCCGAGTCTCGGCCGACTCTCTCGCCTCTCCTCCCTCTCTCCACTCTCTCCCGTGCTGTTCGCCTTATTTGGGCAAAACCCACCGGCAACCCCCCCCCACTGCGCGCGCGTGTACGCGTGTGTGTGCATGTGTGTGTGTAAGCGCGTGTGTATGCGTGTGTGTACGCGCGTGTATGTCTTTGTGTATGTATGTGTGTGTGTATGTGTGTATGCGTGTGTGTACGCGCGTGTGTGTATGTGTCTTTGTGTATGTATGTGTGTATGTGTGTGTATGTGTCTGTGTGTCTTTGTGTATGTGTGTCTTTGTGTATGTATGTGTGTATGTGTGTGTATGTGTCTGTGTGTCTTTGTGTATGTGTGTCTTTGTGTATGTATGTGTGAATGTGTGTGTATGTGTCTGTGTAGTGGGGAGCGATGGTGTAGCGGTTAGCTGCGCTATGAAACCGGCGACCCGGGTTCGATTCCCGCTCACGGCCAACACCCAGTGACGATTATCTGAATCGGTCCCGGGCCTCTCCTAGGTCAACTCAGCATCAAATGAGTGCCTGGCGCAGTGTGTAAACATCGCCACTGGGGAGACAAAGGCGGCCGGGCTTGGTGCTGGCCACCCACCCCCTCGTGTGCCGTGCCGGCCTTCATAGGTGCTCGCTAACAGCACTTGCCCCAACAGTCTGTTAAGGCTACACGGGGGGGGGGGGGGTCTTTGTATGTATGCGCATGCTTGTGTCTACATGTGCGTACTTGGGTCGAGCCTTTGACACTTCACGTGGCCTCAAAGTGCACCTGGCCTGGCACATGCACCGTGGTGACGTCACCGTCACTTTGTGGCGAATGGTGGGTATCGTGTCTGTGTGTACACGTGTCTGTGTGTACATGTGTCTGTGTGTACACGTGAGTGTGTGTACATGTGAGTGTGGAACTTAAATTATGGGGAGCGGTGGTGCTGAGGCTAGCGCGCTGCGCTACCATTCCAGAGACCCGGACATATATGTGAACCAGTCCTGGCCATCCCCTCGGTCGACTTAGCCTCAAATTAGTACGTGGCAGGGTATGTGTTCATTACCACTCGGAAGACAAAGGCGGCCAGGCGTGGTGCTGCCCACCAACCCCATGTGTGCCAGTGCTGGCCTTCATATGTGCTACTCGCTAACAGCACTTGCCCCAATATTATGTTAAGGCTACACGGGGATCTTAGTCTTTATTGTGGAAATGACTCGTGCCTGTTGAGTGTATACAAAAGTTTCTGTTTTCATGCTCGAGATGAGTCATCTTCCCGGCTTGCCAGCTCCTTGTGGACTGGGGCGAGGTTTCTCAGTCTCAGGCTGTGGCCCCACGGCCCGTGGGACCTGAGTCGGGGACCCCATGGGTCGCTTCCATGATTCTGACAAGGTCGGGTGGTGGTGGTGGCAGGGGTTTTGTTGGGAGGGGGTCTTGAGGAGGGGGTGGCGGTGATCCATGAATGGACCTGAGAGATCAGAGGCTCGAGTTTCCCGGGTTCTCCTTCACTATTCATATTTTGGCACTTATCGTAATGGGGACAATGTGTCCACTCGTGTGATGTTGTCGGTGCAAAATGAAACTTGCGCAATTTACACACAAACACTCCAGCGCGTGGCGACGTTGTAGGTAGTGGTGGTGATGTAGGGGGCTGATGGTGGTAGTCCGGCAAAATAACCCCCTACCTACTCGCGGTGCCAGATGAGCAACTCTGTCGTGGACAGTGCTGTGGGGAGAGGGCCAATTCCGATTGGCTCCTCCCCTCATGGCGTTTGTGACCACCACGGTGGCTAAACGGGGGCTCTGGATGGGTGGGGGGCTCTGGATGGGGGCTGGTAACCCCTCCACCTTAAAAAATGACCACTAAACCACGAATTAAAAATGTAACTAATAAGCTTGTGCCGGAGGCCCCGGGGGGATAGGCGTCTATGACGTCTCCTGGCCAAACCCCATTTGGCGGAGCCAGGAGATTGAATCTCTACCCTCGGGGCTCCTCCAGAAACAACGAAAAGCCACTTCGTGTGGAATGTTCGAACGCTCATTGCAGAGGAGAGGCTGCCACTCCTCTGTCGGGAGCTGGACCGGTACCGCCTGGATCTCTGTGGCATTCAGGAGGTCCGGTGCACCGGTTCTGGCTCCTACCACCATGAGGGGTGGACAGTCCTCTACTCGGGGCAGCAGACTGCCAAACAACAGGGTGTGGCTCTTCTTTTGAACAAAAGAATGAAGGGGGCGTGGGAGCATGGCGGTGAGGTGTGGAAAGCTGTAAGCCCCAGGCTACTTTGGGCTCGCCTTCCCATCAACCGGAGGCGAGGAGTGGTGGTCGTGGTTCCTTATGCCCCTACCGAAGACCAACATCCGTGGAGGGATGCAGGCAAAGCCGATGAGTCAGATGCCTTCTTTGACCTCCTGTCATAGGTGCTGGCTAAAGTGGCCCCTCGGGATAAGGTCATTTTGTTGGGTGACTTCAATGCCCGAGTTGGTCATGATTCTGGCATCTGGTCTGGAGTGATTGGAGGGCATGGGCCATATCATATCAATAACAACGGTAGGATGCGGCAAGATTTTTGTGCAGCCCATGGGCTTGTAATTACCAACACGCTGTTCCGGCATCGGCCCATCCACACAACATCATGGATGCATGCCGGGTCCAAGCAAGAACATCTCCTGGACTACATAGTGATGAACCAGCGGATGCGAGCCCATGTCCTTGACACCAGGACCTACCGTGGAGCTGATCTGCCCTCTGACCATCGACGAGTCATCTGTAAGATGCGCCTGCCATTCTTCCACTCCGGTGGTGGGTGTACACCCAGGACCCCATTCCAACCTAAAGTGGCCTGGTCTCAGTTAACTGATGAAAGTTGCAAGCGAGAATTTCATCATCGCTTGCAGCTGGGGTTGGCATCGTCCCCCACTCCTGATGTCGACGGTAAATGGGCGAGGTTTAGGACTGTGACTCATGCAGCTGCAACGGCTGCTTTGGGTACACGGTCCAGACCTCCCCAGAGACCCTGGCTGACAGAGGAGGTGTTCAGGATGGTTGAGAAAAAGCGACAGGCCCACTGTCATCGGCTACAGAATCCCACGTCAGAGAATGAGGAGGCTTACCGCAGCCTTCGCTCGGAGGTTCGGAGAGCCGTGAGGCGCTGCAAGGATGGGTGGTGGTCGCGGGTTGCTGAGGAGATGGAATCTGCCTGAGTGGCCCGCGATCACAAATCTCTATTTAACGCCATCAAAAAAGTAACCTGCAGGGTGGGGTGGGGGTGGAGGTGGGGTGAGGGTGGGGTGGGGGTGGGGTGGGGGTGGGGTGGGGGTGGGGTGCGCAGTGGGCACGGAAGGCGTTCGCCTGGCACAGCCTCCTGGCCACGCGTGGCGGTTGCCGGTGACGGCGTGAGGGGAGGGGGAGCAGGGGGGAGCAGGGGGGGGAGCAGGGGGGGGAGCGGGGGGGGGGGCAGGGGAGCAGGAGAGAGGGGGGGGGCAGAGAAGCGGGGTAGCAGGGAAGGGGGGGGGGAAAGGCTAATTTTACCTGGAGTATACATGTGTGTGGTTTACATGTATGTAGTTTACATGTGTGTGGTATACATGTATGTAGTATACATGTGTGTGGTATACTTGTATGTAGTATACATGTGTGTGGTATACTTGTATGTAGTATACATGTATGTAGTATACTTGTATGTAGTATACATGTGTGTGGTATACTTGTATGTAGTATACATGTATGTAGTATACATGTATGTAGTATACATGTATGTAGTATACTTGTATGTGGTATACATGTATGTGGTATACATGTATGTAGTATACATGTATGTAGTATACTTGTATGTAGTATACATGTATGTAGTATACTTGTATGTAGTATACTTGTATGTAGTATACTTGTATGTAGTATACTTGTATGCAGTTTACATGTATGTAGTATACTTGTATGTAGTATACTTGTATGTAGTTTACATGTGTGTGGTATACATGTATGTAGTATACATGTGTGTGGTATACATGTATGTAGTATACTTGTATGTAGTATACATGTATGTAGTATACTTGTATGTGGTATACATGTATGTAGTATACTTGTATGTAGTATACTTGTATGTAGTATACTTGTGTGTGGTATACTTGTATGTAGTATACTTGTATGTAGTATACATGTGTGTGGTATACTTGTATGTAGTATACTTGTATGTAGTATACTTGTATGTAGTATACTTGTATGTAGTATACATGTGTGTGGTATACATGTATGTAGTATACATGTATATAGTATACATGTATGTAGTATACTTGTATGTGGTATACATGTATGTGGTATACATGTATGTAGTATACATGTATGTAGTATACTTGTATGTAGTATACATGTATGTAGTATACTTGTATGTAGTATACTTGTATGTAGTATACATGTGTGTGGTATACTTGTATGTAGTATACTTGTATGTAGTATACATGTATGTAATATACATGTATGTAGTATACATGTGTGTGGTATACATGTGTGTGGTATACATGTGTGTAGTATACTTGTATGTAGTATACATGTGTGTGGTATACATGTGTGTGGTATACATGTGTGTAGTATACTTGTATGTAGTATACTTGTGTGTGGTATACTTGTATGTAGTATACTTGTATGTAGTATACATGTATGTAGTATACATGTATGTAGTATACTTGTGTGTGGTATACTTGCTCGCGCTGTACCTGCCCTGTCTCGGAACGCACGCGTCTTTCTCAGGAATGCGCGGGCCACATTCTGGGTGCACGCTGCGTGTGTGCAGCTATTTTAACAACAAACAACAACAACAACAACCCTCCACGTATCTCTTTTTTTCTGATCGCTCCAGGAACGGATTTGGCGACGTCAGGTGGCAAGGCGCGGCCGACGATGACACCCATCACGGGACTGCGACGTTGTCTCTCTCGGCCAAATTCCTCCTCCCCATCAAACGCATTCTCGATCAAACGTATCTCGACAACACGATTCAGAAATATTCACGGCATGCTGCGGTACGAACGCAGGGACATCAGAAGCCACTTCGCGCGTCGTTCGGCGTCACACGCACACACACAGCACGGTTGAATGTTCCTGCCCTCTTGGTTCGTTCGGTAAAGTCACGTAGATATGAAAGTAAATAATGCGATCACGACGTTTCGATCGCAAACAACGAGCGCTCGTCTTCAGGTGGGAGAGAGAGAGATAAGCGTGTCGTTGTGACGAGGCATTCTATAGATCCGAGAGGGGGGAGGGACGGGATGCCGTAACAGGCGAGAGGGTGGGGGTGACATTCACTCTGATTCAAGCGATCGGAATGCGGAGGAGGGAGGCTCGACGAAGACGACGATGCGGAGACATTTTTTTTGTTGGTTGCCCGAGGAAGAGGCTCTCCCACCGGGCCACAGGAATATGGAATTGTCTTCACCGCAGGCTGTCAGCGGGAGGTTCAGCATCGTTGGGCTCGGCGGTAGAGTTGAGGGGTGGTGATCAGGGTCACTGAGTTACGCAACTCTTGTTTCAGAAGCCACCTGTTCACAAACGATCGCTCAGCGAAGAGAGCTTATCATCATGATGAGGAAATTTATGGCAGCAGCCAAATACTCTGAACGCGTGATGTTGATTCTAAATGTGGAGGGAAAAACCGGAGGACCCGGAGAAAAAAAATCCACGCGACCGCGGGGAGAGAGACATCCAGACTTCAAATATACAGCAGCAGCAGGCGTCAGGGTCGGGATCGCACCCACGACCTCCTGTATACCAGGCGAGGTAATTAACATCTCGCCACCGGTCTATAAAATTAATACAATGGGAGGAAGTCAACAACTCTGGATGTCCAATGGAAAGACCCCCCCCCCCCGCCAAAGGAATGTGGAATGCGCACCATTGCGGAGGCACATCGCGCTATGTGTAATACGGACATAGCTATGAATCACAGGTATGATACACAGGTATGATACACAGGTATGGTACACAGGTATGATACATGCACATGTGCAGGACGTTCCACCTGGCCCGTACAAGCCGAGAAATGCCCAATGTGAGCCAGGAAATCACTTTGACTCGCTCCGAACGTAGCGAGGGGAGGAGTCGGAGTCGGAATTCGCGCTGCGCGGGGCTCCGGCGGGACCGGCCCTCCCGGAATCCGCGCACATCCTCGAGGCTCTGCGAACTTCATTCCGGCGGGGGTTCGTGTTTCCTCCCCTTCCTCCTCCCTTCTCCTCCTCCCCCCCGCCTCCGCCCTCCTCCACCCTCTTCTCCTGCCCCTCCCTCCTCCACCCTCCCCCCCTCCTCATCCCTCCTCCTCACATCGCCCCTCCTTCCCCCTCCTCTCCCCTCTCCCCGTCATCCCCTTTGACAGCAGAATTAAAAAAATAAAGGAAGAGAACATGGAAGAGCCACGTGGAGATTGCAAAGAGGCGGAGCAGCAGCAGATTCTCGGCAACGTATCTAGGGGACCTTTTATTTGTATTGCTGATATGAAATTGTGAAGAAATAAAACGAGGCTTTAACCCTCTCAGGAAATGAAACAGAGGTGCTGCGATGTTCAAACACCAATTAAGATACCTTCTTGCGAGGGGTCAAGTCTGCGTTAACCGCACGTGCTTGTGGCAAAAACATGCAAACCAAACATGCTTCGGTGGTAATCATGATGTACGCGTTGTCGTTGAAACCGATTGGCCTGCACAGGAGACGGCCTTCTCGACGGCCTCGTCTCACCAAAAGGCGAACGGTACCAGGACAATGCAAGCATCAGAGCACGAATAGCTCGCGTCGAGCAGTTGCATCTACGGGAACTTTTTGTCAGTATAAAAAATGATGACAAAATAACAAAATAGGCGTTTTACCCTTTCCGCCCATTAAACGGGAGGTGATAAGATGTGCAAACTCCGAATAAGATAACCGTTTTGCAGGGAATCAAGTCTGCGTTAACCACACGTTACCTGTGGCTCAGACATGCAAACCAACTGTGCCCTGCAGCGTGTGTCGCCCCGAGACGACGTGAGACCACCCCCCGAAGAGCGGCGCAACCCTGTGTCGTACACCCCTCCTCCACCCGGCACTGAATAGTGGTCGCGTGAACAAAAATGAGGCCAATTTTCACTATTGATCTAACTTCACTAATTTTATTTTCACCAGGTAATGACCATTGAGCTGGCCAAAAATGATAGCGATAAACGTTGTGGATTATCATCATCATCATCACGTGGATATTTATAGCAGCCAAATACTCTAAACGCGTTGACGTTGATTCTAAAAACCGGAGGAACCGGAGACAAATCCATGCGACCAAAGAGAGAGAGAGAGACACCGAAAACTCCAAATATACATCAGGCGTCAGGGAGATGTCGAACCCACGACCTCCTGTGTACCAGACGAGGTAGTTAACATCTCCTAGCCACTGTGATGATGATGACAGAGAGACACACACAAACTCCAAATATACAGCAGGCGTTAGGATGGGGTTCGAACCCACGGTCACCTGTACACCAGGCGAGGTAGTTTACATCTCCTAGTCACCGTGATGATGATGATGATGACAGAGAGACACACACACTCTGAATATTCATCAGGTGTCAGGGTCGGGATCGAACCCACGACCTCCAGTATACCAGGCGAGGTAGTTAACATCTCTTAGCCACCGTGATGATGATGACAGAGAGACACACACACACTCTGAATATTCATCAGGTGTCAGGGTCGGGATCGAACCCACGACCTCCTGTATACCAGGCGAGGTAGTTAACATCTCGTAGCCACCGTGATGATGATGACAGAGAGACACACACACACTCTGAATATACATCAGGTGTCAGGGTCGGGATCGAACCCACCACCTCCTGTATACCAGGCGAGGTAGTTAACATCTCTTAGCCACCGTGGCACCCCACGCTTTAGCAGCACCGCCGGTAGTGATGTTGGAGAGCGATATGCACGCGACGTTTGACTCATCGGGTTACGCGATGTTCCCGATGGTCGTTACGGCAGCCAGCATCATCGGGCAGCTGACAGAATCATCGTTTGCGGCTGGCCTGTAAATGTCAACCAGGTAGTGTATGCAGGCCCGGGCCGAGAGGTGGTCAGGAAATGACAGTTCAGCGGTGGATTCTTGAATCTATGGATTATTGAATCCATCTGTGCGAAGCTCGCATGCGCGGTGTTGGGTTCATATTTTACTTCCGAGTTCTCCCGTTTCCTGCCACGTGACGACAAACTCTTCGGTTGCGAATAGAATTGTCCCAACATTCCCAATGGAGCAGAACCCTCCTGAAAATTAGTTTTGAGACTCATTGAGGAATTCACTGGGTAAATCGATAGCATTACAGCAACTCTGGCCAACCAGTCTTCAGCACTACCCCTACCACAGTTCCTAGCACTACCCCTACTTGAGTCCCTAGCACTACCCCTACCCCCTAGCAATGCCCCTACTCCAGTCCCTGGCACTACCCCTACCCCCTAGCACTACCCCTACCCCAGTCCCTGGCACTACCCCTACCCCAGTCCCTAGCACTACCCCAGTCCCTAGCACTACCCCTACCCCCTAGCACTACCCCTACTTGAGTCCCTAGCACTACCCCTACCCGCTAGCACTACCCCTACCCCAGTCCCTAGCACTACCCCTACCCCAGTCCCTAGCACTACCCCTACCCGCTAGCACTACCCCTACTTGAGTCCCTAGCACTACCCCTACCCCCTAGCACTACCCCTACCCGCTAGCAATATTCCTACCCCAGCGCCAAACCAGGGCCCCGCCTCTGGAGAGAGAATTCACGCCCCCCCCCCCCGCCACCAGCCCCACCCCTCCCCCCGACCCTCGTGAGTTATTCCGTCGGCGCTCGCGCGGTATTCGCAGCGCCGCCGACTCGCAGCGAAGTGGCGGAGCTCCGTCGGCGGCGGCTGCGGCGTCTCGAACGCGCGGCGCGGTGCGGTCGGTCTCAGTTGACGACGCGCGGAGGTTGGGAGCTGACTGGGTGGACCGCGAGGAAGGGGGGAGGTGTGGGGAGGTGGGGGAGGGAGGTAGAGGCGGGGGGGAGGGGAGGTGGGGGTACGAAACGCGATTATTTGGGGTTGATGTCAATGCAGGCCACACTCGCACCAGCCCTTCCGACCTTAAACATCCATTATCGATCTGTCACGCGCGTCGCGGAATCGGTAGGGCTCGGTTTAATTAAGCCGTCAGACCACTGCCCTCCCCCCCCCCTCTTCTCATCCCCCACCCCCCTCCAGCCTTCCCACACCAGCGCTGGCTGCCAAGAGCTCCTTGGCTCTGGGCCGCTCCGTCCAGGGGGGGGGGGGGCGGTCTGTGGGGGGCGCGTCTGCACCTCGCGTGCAAGGTGATGAATGCCCTTACGAGATAATTGGCTGCGCGCGCCCGCGGATGGATTTAATTTCGGCATCTCGGGGCGAGGAGCCGAGTGGCGAAGCCAGACGAGGATTCATGACCCTATCCTAGAATCTCACCCAGACGTGGAAGGACGCTGCCGCTGCTGCTGCGGCGGCGTCTGCTGCTGTGCGAACAGTGGAAGAACGCAGCCGTTCAAAATAGACGCCACATCCGAGGCCCTGCACAGATCGTAGTTACCACATCGAGGTATAAACATTCCTCGAATACCCTCCTGGATTACCTCTCCTGCTGGTGGTGGCTATGAGATGTTAACTCCGTCGCCTGGTGTACAGGAGGTCGTGTGTTCAATCCCGACCCTGACGCCTGTTGTATATTTAGTGTTTTCGTGTTTCTCTCCCCGTGGTCGCGTGGATTTTTCCCCTCCGTATTCATAAACACGCGTTTAGAGTCTTTAGTTGCCTTAAATTTCCACGTGATAAGCCACTTCGTTCGGCTATCGATTGTGACTATGTCACTTCTGAAAAAGAGCGATACATTTCAGTGGGCCTTACCTGGTAAAAATAACAAAAACATGTTTAGTCGACGTAGTTTGTCGTTTTAATCGGCATTAAATTCTCAAAATAAGCGAACGATCGATTTTCTCTCACGCGCGAGTTAGCCGCACGCATTACCGTGACCGGACGTCTCGATCTGCATCGATGAATCGATCAAGCAATGAAATGCATCGTTGGTGGGTGCAAAGTTTACGCGTCTGCGTTGTTAATACCAAAAACCCCAAAAACACCCCTAAAATACACACGGCAGGGATTCTGGAGCAGAAGAACGGAGCTGTGGCGATCCCATCTGGACCGACGGGGTAACTGCCGTGCCAGCAGTCGCGGGGAGCGGTGGGCGCGGTGGTTGAACGCCAAGTCGCTCGCGAACACCGCCGGGACCCGAGCCTCAGCGGCACCGCCAAATAGTTCAAGCAACGTACGCGGGAGGGCACTGTAGGAGCGCGCAGAGAGGCGTGCGCGAGCCGGGTGATGCTGGTGCTGCCCGTGGTGATGATGATGACGAACATCGACTCCCACGGGGGTCGCGGGGACATTAGACAGCACCCCCCACCCTACTCTCCGCGCCACCACCCCCCCGCCCCACGCTACAATCTCCTAGGGGGGTTCGCGTTGCCTAGGGAAGAGGCGTCCGCAGTTGAACTCCCCTCCCCTTCACCCCTCGCCCCCCCCCCCCCACAATTAAATTAGCATCTCTAATTTAATTGTGGGGATGATTTACAGCCACCCCCCTCCCTCGCATGGGAGATGATTGGCAGGTAAATGCCCACCCCACCCACCCCACCACCCGCCACCGCGTCACTTGTGATTCGTGATTGTTGGGTCAGATCGAGTCAGTGAAATATTTTTGTCGTGACCCCTTCTCCACCCGACGCAGCCTGTAATCGTTGCTCCTTCCAGGCAGCGGCGGTGGCGGTGGTGCCGAGTGCCGGGGAAGGCCGCAGCGTGCTCACCCATCGCTCCGAGCAGCACTAGACACCAAACGTCTGGTGAGGCTATGCGGGGGATCTTTGTCTTTGGTAAGAAGGTGACATCGCCCGGCCTCGGATCCAGCCCCGGGTTTCCTGTGCGCGTCGACGAAAACCGCCGTCGCAGCGGAGTATTTAAACACCGCCGCTTTAGCGACCCCGTGGACCCATCATCGCCTCCAGCCCTGGCAACCCAATTCGCTCCCTCGCTCGCTGCTGCCGCTGCTGCTGTTGTTATTGTTGTTGTTTATAACCTGAACTATGCAAGCGCTAATTCAATTTATCCACTCCGAGCACTGCTCGTTTTTGCTTTTAATTGCTTGCAAATGATTTGCGCGGCGCTCTTCAATGAGTTATGACCGAGATGTAACAACATCTTTGCTTTGTGCGCGCGCAGGAAATTGCATTTGTTTATACCGCTCGGTTGGATAATTTGTGATTTTGTTGTTGTTGTGGTTTTAGTTTAATTTGAGCGCCGCTTTTGCCAAGGAGTTGAGTCTGTGGTGGGGGCAAAATGGCCCTCCCTCCATCCCCTCCCTCCCCTCCCTCGCTCCATCCCCCCCCTCCCCTCCCTCGCTCCCTCCATCCTCTCCCTCCCTCCCCTCCCTCGCTCCATCGCTTCCTCCCTTCCTTTTTTTTCAATCAGAGGAAAACAGAAGATTCTCGGTGTAGTCGACACTTTGCGTCGTTCATCGTTTCGTTTTTTCTAATGCTTTGCTTTATGTAACCCCCCCCCCCCCTATTTTAAAATGAAAGATTTAACAAAAGATTTCTCGCTCTGCTCTCCTTACCCCTCCCTCTCTCTCTTTGTTACGATCAGAGGAAAAACAGAAGATGCTCGGTGTAGTCGGCACTTTGCTCCGTTCATCAATTCGTTTTTTTTATGCTTTGCTTTATGTGAACCCCCCACCCCTTTTAAATGAAAGACCCAACAAAATATTATTTTTCTGACGGGTCGCTTATATCTGCACGCACAGAGCTCTCTACCGTCATCTGCCACCGAGCACACGGCCTTCTCCAGCGCCCACTGCTCCTTGAAGGCCGGCACGGCGTGGGTCAGCCGCGCATGGCGGAACTCCAGCCACACCCTGGCTCTGACCAGAGCACGGAGGATGCCCAGGCTGCTGGCAAGACGTTGCCCCTCCAGGGCCACCTTCCTCGTCCTGTATATGGCGAGCTTGGCGTAGCCGAAGAGCACGTTGACCAGCCACTGAAGATGTTGGGGTCCGTCGCCCTTTGGGTATCCCTTCCTCGCTCGCTCTCTCCCTCCCCTCCCTCGCTCTATCCATCCATCCCTCGCTC